AGTCTCAGCATAGGTAGGGGGCCGCCATCGACAACCGTCGGGAACCAATGCAGACGACAGCCAGATGTGCGAGGCTTGCGAGGTGAGCTGCAGGTGCCAGGTGCGCCACGCGCACCAGATGCGCCACACGGGGCAGTATGCCGACCCTCCCACAGCACCGTCAGAAGCCAGTGCACAGAGACGGCGGGCTTGCCAGCACTGCGTATCGTGTGTGTGCGTGTGCACTCGCAATCACTTTGCACGTGTTTTTGGCAGGGGTGGCGGACCTGCACGCCGCAGACAATCTGCCGGCCCACGCCAGCCCCTGCAAGCAAACACAGAGACAGAGTGACCGCGGTGTCCCCGCGCATGATCCCGATGTTGATGCTCAGCACACCGAATCAGTTGTTTCTGTTGCACGGGTTTGTGGGGGGGCGTTGGCACAGCAAGCAGCGCGCAATGAGTCGACACCCCTACCACCCTTGTCAAGTGCCCATGCGAAGTGATCGCGGGGCGTCCGCACATGATTCAGATTTTGGTGCAAAGTGCATTTGATGGGGGCATGGATGGTGGGGGAGGGGGCAGGATGGTGGGGGCATGGGTGGCAGTGCCCCTGGTTTGTCGCTGGTCGGGTAAGGGAGGGGGAGGGGGTGGGTGTTAATAGGTACAAGTGGTAGCCCCCTCCCCGAAGGGGAAGGGGGAAGATGACATAGGAAACTGTCTAAAGCACTTATGCCCAGACGGCTGGTGGGATTCACAATCTGACTATTCCTCCGCCCGGGCGTCCGCCCGGGCACCCGGACACCCGGGCGCCGGCCCGGACACCCGGACACCCGGGCACCCGGACACCCGGGCGCCCGGACACCCGGACACCCGGACACCCGGACACCCGGGCACCCGGTTACACCCGGGCACCCGGGCACCCGGACACCCGGACACCCGGACACCCGGACACCCGGACACCCGGACACCCGGGCACCCGGACACCCGGACACCTGGGCACCCGGACACACCCGGACACCCGGACACCCGGACGCCCGGACGCCCGGACACCCGGACACCCGGACACCCAGATTCTCGGGATCGTCAAAATATTAAAGATCTTCATAATTTGACAGATTCTTCAAAATATTGAAGATTTGCGTCGTTCTCAAGCGCGCGTGCATACGCATGCACAGCGCATTTGCACGGACACATACATGCGCGCATCGCGGGTGTCTTGTGTAGTTTCATGCGCGCGTGCACGCTCATGTGCATGCGCGTGTGATTTGGAGAATTGCCGACGACACCGACGACGCCGACCGACGGCTACCGCCGACCGCCAACGCCGTCCGCCGACGACGACGATCGACGACGACCGACGACGACCACCGACGACGACGGACGACGGGCACTGCGACGACGACCACCGACGACGACGACGACAACGACGGACGACGTTTCTTGACCTTCGGGGGGGGGCTTCCTCGTCGCCTCGGGCGAGTTTTGAACGTTAGCTCGGGTCGCTCGCTCGGGGACGTGAGGGGACGGGGTAATCCTCTGAAGCAGGCGTTGTTTGGGGATGCCTCGGTATAGTCGCGATCTTCGTCGACAGGGCCACATTCCTACTTGGAATAATGACAAACTTGCACCCCTGCCACAATTCCTGGGCCGTTGCGACTCGGAGTGGTGAGAATCCGACCCCCTCTGCCGCGCCTTGTGGACTTGGGAGGCGCGTGATGGTGACAACCCGAAGCCCCTGCCGCACATTCTGGGATCCCACTAGCCCTTTGGGCGACAGGTGGTCTAACGAGATTCCTCTTCCCTCTTCCAACAATCTCTGTGGAGGGGTTTACCCCTCCCCTACCCCCTCCCCTGGACCTGGACAGGGGGTGCCGCGATCGGTTGGAGGGTCCTCTTTCGGATCATGCGAGGGTTATTTTTTGAAACCCTCACAGGAACCGTGGCCCCCGAGGGGGGGGGGCGCCGATCGGGACGTTTCCTGTTTTCACCGACCGCCTCCAAGATGCCCCCCAAGAGGCCCTCCAGGGTTCCCAAGAGGCACCCAAGAGCGCCCCAGCACCGCTCCAAGAGGCCCACCGATGGCCCTATGACGGCCCCAGAAGCTCCACGACGGCCCGAAGAGTGCCCAAAGACGGCTCAAATTGCCTCCAAGACGCCCAAGATTGCCTCCGAGACGGCCAATATGGCCCCAATATGTCTCCAAGACGGCCCTAGATGCACCCAGGACGGCCCAAGATAGTATCAGGATGGCCCAACACGGCCAGAGACGACCCCAAGGGGCCTCCGAGACGGATGCGGTTCACTGTTGGATTGTTTGCTGCTACACCTCCCTTGTCAAGGCAACTCGCCTAGCGGCTGCTTCGGGATGGGCTGGTGGGGATACGCGAAGCGTGAAGAATTGTGGACGCCAGGAACAGTGAGAACTCGAAGCCCTTTGCCGCGTTATCTGGACCTGGGTGCGTGTGTGTATTGATGCATTACGAACGTAAGCGCTATGTATGTGTATGTGCGTATATGCTCATATGTATGTAACTATGAACGTGCAGTTTATATAGCAAAAATGTACACAATTGCATGTGCGGTTATATTGTCATTACCATGTGTGCTATGATGTCCTGTCTCGCTCGTGTCGTCCCTGTCGATACACGCTCGATGCGTGCAACGACTAGAACAAAACGGATGAAACTAGACAAGTTGTTTTTCAGGCGAACCGAACGCAAGCTCCAGGCGTCCACTCAAGAAGCATCCCAGTGCAACACTTCAAAGAAACGTTCTGTTGCACGCCTTTGTGGAAGGGTCCATTTATTGTGTTTTGTATATTCCTGTCACTTTGCCAACCATGGATTCGGATGCGTATGCTTGAACAAAGCGTGGATTTACCATGCTTGCTTGTTTTCCCAGATGTGCAACGGCATAATGCAATTTTGGCCGCTCTGACCACGATCTTTTCATGGCAACTGCTGCGAGGTGGGCCAACATCTGCCAAGTTCTGCCAAGCCGCTCGGTGTTTTTTTAACGATATTATTTCATCGTCCGATAACCAAACGCCAGCATCATACATGATGTTGTGCAGTATGTTGATTGATTCGATCACCTTAAGCATGTGCTTGTTTTCCGCCGACGGGTCGCGGTGGCAAGCCCTTCTCTGAAGGCCCTCACAAAAAGGAGCTGCGCAACGAGTGTTCGCAGCTTTGACCCCCTGTCCATGAAGATCGGGAAAGCCGTCCCCCATCAAATTTGATAGCTTCAGTGTGGGAAGACGGCTGTTCACGTTGGAACGTTTGTAAAACGCAAACAAGTCATTGTTCAGGAAGGCCAACCGATCTTCTTGGGTGTGTCGTGGCAGCACCCCGTCGCGCGCCGCTACTTGCGCGTGGAATATGCGTCCGATCGCAGTACTCGTGATTCCATGGTGATCGAAGAGGTGCAGTATGTCGTAGCGAAATGTACACCTATTCCACCAACCGTGGGCGACCACTGGGTGCAAAGGCCGACGGAAACATGTCATGTACGTTTCATTATGTCCAAGAGTGCCCCTCCACGCTGCGCCTGCACTAAAGTCATTATGGGGGACAGTTGAGCTATTTGCATCGCACTCGCAACAACAATTGTGAGACAAATGGCGCACCATCCCCAGTTCGTTGCATGCGTATTCAAGGTCGCTGCCCCAAAAAACTAGAATTGCACCCCATTCTTGATCGTCGATTGGCCCTGCGAGTTTATCAAAACTCTCCATGATGGGGTGCCACGGTTTATATTCCAAGCTGTCGTCCTTCACCCCCGTGGCCATGAGAATTCTGGTGTCGATATCGCCGCCGTGCCTTGTCAATGAAAAGTAGCACCTCGCATAAGTATTGGCAGTGTCCGAAAACGGCCCAGCATCATCGAACAATTGCAGAGGAACGTACCATTTCAATTGCCCTGGCGTGCGGCCTCTCAGAAAAGAGTCGCGGCGCCACAAGTCTCGGCCGCCGTCGCGAGATTTGAGGGTTGCCCACCAATCAGTCATTCCATTACTGTACGCCCCGAGATGCCTAGCGAACTTGTCTGGGTTCAGCTTCCGCAGAAAGTGAAACGCATCGTAAGGGAGCAAGACTGTGTCAACCACGCTGTCATGCAAACTGAACGTCGGAGGAAGCCTTTCTCTAGGGACGATACTTTCCAACAGTCGCCCTGAATTCTGCAAGCTTTTAATCCAACGCGCCAACCTTCTGACGAGCTCATCGCTGTCCTCTTTGGGCTGAGCCGATACATTCCTGACGACGTCCGATGCAATTGCCTTGCCCCGCGCCCAGCCATGCATCCAATGTGCTACTTCGGAATTCCAACCCCATGGCAACGATCCATTGGGCTGGCGCGTCGGCGGTCTTGACCGATGTCGATGTCGCCAGCCTGGCATGCAGCCTTGAGCCAACATGGCTGATCTACATTTGGCGGAGCTTGACTAGACCAACGGTCGAAGTTGAGACATGTACGCATACCCAGTCCCGTCTGCAGCACGCTGGCCCTGTCAATCCTCACCCCTATAGGGCGGAACTCGACTAGACCAAGACCTCGCAACAAACTAGACTGACGTTTTTTGTGTTAAACATAGCGAACCGCATGGATCAGAACCCCCCCTCCCCCCCTCCCATGGGGGCCCTGAGGAGGGGTGCTTCCAGAGGAGTGGGGGGTGGAGGAGTTGTTTTTCAAATCGATTTGAAACAAACATCGGTGGCGCTTTTGTTTCTGGCAGGGCGGTGGCTATGGAGATGGCGGCATGGCGATGAATATGATGATGATGTTTGTTTTCTTTTGTTTTGCCAGGCGCTATTCCTCCTTGACTCATCTTTTCATCCTATTCCTCCTCCTCCCTCCCTCCCTCCCCCCCCCCTTCCCTCCCCCCTCCACGCGGTGTTTTTGTTTTTTCTTTTCCGAGTTGGCAGCACGAGGCCCACATCCTCGCACAGCCCATGCCCGACAGAAATTGCATGACGGCCGTGCTCCCCGCAAGGCCAGGCAGCCCAGAAGCTCGCGTCTCAGGCCTCCCCGTCGGTGTCCGCGGCGGCAGACCGCTCCCTCTTCTTGGTCAACCTCGTTGCGATCGTGGCCATCATAGACAGGTAATCCCTGACCGTGGCCACGTCGTCCTTCAGCTCATCTGCAAGCGCTGCGGCGTTCTCGACCTCCTCTGTTGGGATCGCGTCGCCGTGCGATACTTTCTCCAAGAATTTGATGATCTTGGAATCATTCTTCTTCGCGGCCTTGAAGCTTGCGTTTGCCTCCGCGTAGAACTGCTCAACGTGCCTGCGAGGATTGGGCATGACATGCCGCAGCCTCGTCGGACAAACGCCCACATGCACAAATAGTCGTGTGAGGGATGTGGCGCATCGAATGCAATTCAACTCAAATGTGCAACTCATGTTATCAAGGTTTACATACCAGTTCACACGAACAAAAAAAGCATTCAGACATTTTCAGAGATTTTCAGATATCTTCAGACTTTTTTCTTATTGTGTTGTTCTGTAAAATTTCTGAAAATTTCTGAAAATCTCTGAAAATCTTTGAACATCTCTGAAACGCATCTGGCCAGCTTGATGTTGGGAGAAAGAACGCGCGCAGTTGCCTTTGCGCCAGCAGCCTGAGCAGCCAGCACGACATGAGTAACTATTTGGTTATGGGGCGTTTGTCCTGAGGCCGAGGCTTGCCATGCTTATCCAGGGACCTGTTATCCGAGAACTTCGCCAGCTTCATCTTGAAGTCGACTGTCACAGGACTGTACGCGTTGTGCTGCTTCTTGATCTTGGAGATCTTGGCCTTGTCCTCGGTCGGCTGCTCCTCCTCCTCCGGTGGCGGTGGCCCCTCGCCGCCTGATCCCTTGGTGCTGCGACGCGCCTCATTCACTGTGCCAACTTCCGTCACGCTCTTTATCTCAACGACCTTGTACTGCAGCTGCTCTTCCTCAGGGAGCTCCTTTGTCGTCGGGTCATCGTGGTCGAGGTCCTCGCGGGGCCTAGTCAGTATCTTTCCTTGTTTTACTTGAACACGGACCAGCGCGAGTCCACCGTAGCGAGAGTCTGTCGAATGAACTCTTCCTTCTCCGCAGACTTTGACGCCTTGAGGTGCTTCAGGCCTTTGTCGTAGAACTCCTTGGTGCGATGTGGTGCCTTCATCAGCTTGTACGCGAAATCGTTCTGCCTTTTCTTGTCCTGCGCGGCAGCATCCACGCACACCTGCTTCTCCTGTTTCACTGCTTTCACTGCCCTTTTCGGCGCCATCGCGGATTGCAGCACCCCTTCAACAATCCTGGAGCCTCAAACTGCCATGGGCTGTAACGCATGTCGAGCCAGGACTCGCAATTGAGACGCGCGCCCCGTCTGCAGCATGCTGGCCCTGTCAAGCCCCGCCCCGTATGGGGCGAAACTCGACGAGACCAAGGCAGTGCAACAAACTAGACTTGCGTGTTTTTCATTGATCAGACACCCCTCCCGAAGGGCCCTGAGAAGGGATATCTCCAGAGGAGTGGGGGGTGGAGGAGTTTTTGTTCAAATCGATTATAACCAAAAACCGTGGGCGTTTTTTTTTCTGGCAGGGCGGTGGCTATGAAGATGGTGGCATGGCGATGACGATGGCGATTTTTTTTTTTTGTTTCTTTTTTTTTTGCCAGGCGCTGCGGTTCAACGAGCTCTAGACCCTCATCTACCAACTCGACGGTAGGTTATCGAGAATTGAGCGCCATTCCGCCTTTTCTTCTTTGCTTTTTTTCCTCCTCGCTTGGCCGCCACGTCTCATGTACCTGTCGAGCCACACCTGTGCGGCTTGTTCAGGGTCGTCCTTAAGACGTTTGATGCGCTCTGCAATTCTCTTGCAGCCTCCTTTCCTTTTTCTCTCTTTTTGTTGGTGTTGGGCTTCTTGGCCTCCTCGGCATCTACGTTCGAGGTTTCGTCGGTGTCTGCCTGGGTGTCCACAGCATCAGTCAGCTTGTCCTCGCGCTGCTTCTCGACCTGCTGATCGGCTGACTCCATTTGGCCAGCTCGTCCTTGCACTGCTCCTTTGGGATCTGTAGCTGGATTTCCAGAAGACGAGCTCGCCCCATGGTAGATGCGAGCGCCTCCTACAAGCGAAGGCCACTTGACCATTGCTGTGCATGTGCTGCAGCGCACGCTTGAGCCACAAATGCGCCAGAACCTCAACACATATCAAATTTGCATTCTGCGCGTCGCCGCCCTGTCGGCAAAGAGCGCGACTAGACCACGACAGGCAAAATGCGAGGCCCTGTCGACGAAGATCACGACTAGACCCGACAGGCCCTGTCGATGAAGATCGCGACTAGACCAAGATGCATGGATGAGGGGGCGAGCGATTGGACATATACATTTTGTCGCTCCCGCCGCGCGTGCACTGCGCAGTCCATACTAACTGCGCACCAACGTCGCCATGCGATCGGCGGCTGATTTTTTCTCAATCTTGAGCGTTCCGCTCTCCAACTCCTTCTTGATCGTTTCGATTATCTCCTCATGATTTGTGGATGTCTTTGCCTTGCATGTAATGAAAAAGCGCCCATTGATCATTATGTATGTTTCCGCCTTGTGCGGTGGGTTTCTCCTCCTCATGATCTGCACCTTCAACGGGCCGTCGCTGGCGACAATGGCCGCCGCTGGTTTTCCACGAACTGCAGGCCTCATTGGAAGCTTCCGAATTGGTGCCGCTGTTTCTTCTGGAGCTGCTGTCGGTTGTTCGCCTTCGTCGTGTTTATCCCGAGCTGCTTTCACTTGTGCTTTGTGTCCACCGCGACGAGGATCAACGTGCTGAGTGTTCCTTAAAGCTGCTCTGGATGTCGAGGAGTGCTCTGAGGGGGCGTTGCTGAGCAAATCAACTGTGTCCAATCCTTTTTTCAACTTGCATTCGTCGCATCGGCAGTCGGCACTGCAGAAGATAACCGAGCTCTGGCTGCTTGGGTCACTCGCTATCTTGGCGATTTTTTCTTACGACTTGCAGAGCCCGCGCTGGCTGAAGGGATTTCGTCTGCGCCGACGGAGCCATCGTATGTGCCAATCATACCTATTTTCCTGACAAGGACATTGTGCCTGACTTTTTCAAATCCACGATGTGTTTGCAAATCACCCGCAAACGGTCGCACGAATCGAAAGCCCATTTATCAATATTGTCGCCATAAGCTTTTTGCGCGGCCTTGCTCATGATACCATATTTGCACTGTAGGGCCATCCAGACTACACGTAGCAAAGACAGCGCAGGAAAGCCCAACGGTGCGAACGACAACACAACTTTCAATATGTCGAAATAGAATTCTAAGCCGTCTCGGTCAGGTCCTTGAGCTCGCCTTCGTTTGTCGTAGGATGAGAATTCCCAGTCCCAGCCCAGGGACTCTGATTTGGTCTTGGCGAACGGGGCGAGGAGTGCTTTCATTTTTTCAGGGTCAAATCTGTCATTTGGCGTCCGCTTTGGTGGCATTATGAATGACAATTTCGGTATCGGATTGTTTGGGGCCAAAGCGGCTACGGATGGGTCATGGCATGTGCACAACATGGTAATCCCAGGAACCTTTTGGGCGACAGGTGGTCTAACGAGATCCCTCTTCCCTCTTCCAACAACCCCTCTTCCCTTTCGGGGGGGGGGCCCTCCCCCTATCCCTTGGATCTGGACAGGTGGTGCCGCGATCGGTTGGGGGCCCTTTTCGGACCATGCGAGGGCGTTTTTCTGTGACCTCTCACAAGGATTGTGGCCTCCGAAGGGGGACGCCGATCGGGACGCTTCCTCTTTTCGCCGACCGCCTCCAAGATGGCCCCAAGAGGCCCTCCAGAGCTCCCAGGATGCCCACAAGAACGCCCCAAGACCGCCCCACGAGGCCCCAAGATGGCCCCAGGGCGGTCCAGAAGCCCCCAAGACGGCCCGAAGAAAACCCACTGACGGCTCAAGTGGCTGCCAAGACGCCCAAGATGGCTTCCAACACGGCCAAGATGGCCCCAAGAAGGCCCAGGATGGCCCCAAGATGTCTCCAAGACGGCCCACGATGCACCCAAGACGGCCCAAGATAGTCTCAGGATGGCCCAAGACGGCCCGAGACGGCCCCGAAGGGCCTCCAAGACGGATGTAGTTCACTTTTGGATTGATTGTTGTTACACTTCCCTCATCAAGGCAACTCGCCTGGCGGCTGCTTTGGGATGGGCTGGTGGGGATACGCGAAGCGTGAATAATAAATTGTTTTATTCTGCAAGGCTACCTCAGAGGTGTCTCAAGAAAACTTAATATCCTATTTTGCGGGAGGTCTGGACCAAACGGTTACCAGATGCACCGCCGCATGCGCAAGTGCACGCCGCGGCCCAGTGATTGCCGACGACGCCGACCGACGGCGACCGCCGACCGCCGACGCCGACCGCCGACGACGCCGATCGACGACGACCGACGGCGACTACCGACGACGACGACGACGGACGACGGACGACGACGATGACGACGACGACGGCGACGACGACGGACGACGTTTCTTGGCCTTCGGGAGGGGGGCCTTCGAAGGCCACGGATTAGCCCCTCGGTCGAGTTTTGAACGCTAGCTCGGGTCTCTCGCTCGGGGACGTGAGGGGAGGGGGTTAATCATCTGAAACAGGTGCTGTTTGGGGATGCCGATGTCTAGTCGCGATCTTCGTCGACATGCGCGTGCCCGCGCATATGCACCCGCGATGCGCGCATGTACGCGTGCGTGCGTTTGGGAATGAGGCAAATCTTCAATATTTTAAAGTATCTTTAAAATTATGATGATCTTCAATATTTTGGCGATCCCGAGAGTCTGGGCACCCGGGCGCCCGGACGCCCGGACGCCTGGACGCCCGGACGCCCGGACACCCGGACACCCGGACACCCGGACACCCGGACACCCGGACACCGGGACACCCAGACACCCGGGCACCCGGACGCCCGGGCACCCTGACGCTCGGACGCCCGGGCACCCGGACGCCCGGACGCGCGAACACCCGGACGCCCGGGCACCCGGACACCCAGGCGGCACCCAGGCACCCGGGCACCCGGACGCCCCGACACCCACCCGGGCGTCCGGGCACCCGGGCACCCGGACACCCGGACACCCAGACACACACCCTGGCACCCGGGCACCCAGGCTTCCGGCCGGGCACGGGGGAGATCCAGACGAAGATGTGGGTGAAGGAGGAGGAGGAGGAGGAGGAGGAAAACGGACAGACATAATAGCCTCCGCGGATGTCTGGAGCGTCTGGGGTCTGGGGGGCATCTTGGGTGCTTCGGTGATCCTCCTGACGCCTCTTGGGGGCCTCTTGGAGGTCTCTTGGGAGCCTTTTGGAGGCTTCTTGGGGCCGTCTGGGCGCCTCTTCGGGTCCTCTTGGAGCGCTCTTGGGAGCTTTAGGGGCGCTCTTTCGGCCATCGCCCCGCTGAATGCATCTGAAGCGATGGGAATGCATCTGAAGCAAGCGGGGCGGGGCCGCGTCGCGCCCCCGCCCCGCTTGCTTCAGGTGTATTCCCATCGCTCCCCCCCCTGGCCTTCATCATCCTCGTCCCCCTCGTCCTCGTCCTCCTCCCCCCTCTTCCTCCTCCTCCTCCTCCTCCTCCTCCCTCCCCCGTCCCCTCCCTCCTCCCCATCCTCGTCATCCTCCTCCTCCTCCTCCTCATCCTGCCCCTCTTCCCTCCCCCCTCCACCCCACTCCTCATCAGCCTCCTCCTGTTCCTCCTCCTCCTCCGCCGCGTCCTCCTCCGCCTCCGCCTCCCTCCTCCTCCTCCTCCTCCTCCTCCCTCCTCCTCCTCCCTCTCCTCCTCCTCCGCTCCTCCTCCTCCTCCTCCTCCTCCTCCTCCTCCTCCTCCTCCTCCTCCTCCTCCTCCTCCTCCTCCTCCTCCAGTTGGCCCACTGCCATTTTATCGGGTGATCCGCCGTGCCCCAAGTAAAAGTGGGCTCGAATGACAAAATCTTTTTGTCCTTCGAGCCCGCTTTTCGGTACCAAGCCCCTGGGGGCACAACTTTCCAACCCGCGCTCCAAACACCTTGATGTATTTCAACTGACATGTTTGCCAACAAAAAACATGCTTTTCTCCCCTCGTCCACCTCCTCCTCTTCCAATTCCTCTTCCTCTCGTTCCTACTCGCACCCTTACTGCTGCTGCTGCTGCTGCTGCTGCTGCTGCTGCTGCTGCTGCTGCTGCTGCTGCTGCTGCTGCTGGTCCTCCTCCTCCTCCTCCTCCTCCTCCTCCTCCTCCTCCTCCTCCTCCTCCTCCTCCTCCTCCTCCTCCCCCTCTCGTTCCTACTCGTACCCTTACTGCTGTTCCTGGGCCTGCGGGAGGGGGTGGCGATTTTCAGGAGTTGGAGGGGTCGGAGGAAGGGGAACGCCCGCCTGCTAATATCAACATGCTTCGGCTCAAGACTTCGTCAGATATGGAGCGGCTTCGGTCTGAGTATTCCCGCCAAGAGCGGTTACTCAGGAGGCTGGCGCGACCACGCTTCTGTGTCTTCATTTGGGGACCCCGATTCCCCCTGACGTGCAACATACCTTTCCGATACCCCCGGCTGAGACGGTGCGCTTGCTCACGCTCCTTGCTCGAGGGGTGCCAGTTGAGGTACTTCTCCGCGAGCTGGAGCTCCGCGCGGGTCCTGGTGCACGGTAGACCAGCGCAACTTCGGCTCGCCCGGGCCGAGTGAGGCCAGCATGCCTCCAAGGGAATCTTGGCAATCAGTGCGTCCATTGTGGGGGGCCGTGGAAAATCCACCAGCTCCTGCAGAGGCTCCGTCGTGGCGACCTGTTCAGCCGCTCTGGGGGGCCTGCCCAGACGCCGCCCCGTCGGTCGCGCCTGCGAGGGCTCCAGACGCCGCCCTGCCAGTCGCCCCGCCAGTCGCCCCGTCGGCGCCAGCCCGCGCACAGGCGTCGCCGCGACCAGAAGCGACGCAGCTGGCCGCTCAACCTGTGGAGCCGCGACCTGCGATCTCCCCAGCAGCGTCGGTAGACTGGGCTGCCGCCACCGCTCCTACCGGGTCCGCGTCTCAGCTTTCCGATCTCACCACGTATCGCAGTACTTGCCCGCAGTGTTCCGAACGCCTTACTGTTCGGCAGCAGAGGAGCCCCGTGAGATGCATCATCATGGCCGAACCTGAGTGCATCCAACGGCACCACTTCGCCAAGGTCTGCGAGCGGTGCATCCGGCAAGGTGATGTGCGGAAGTATTGGTGCGGCTACGTGGAGATTCCCAGTGCCGGGGTGCGCGGCGGCTTCGACAAAATCGTCGACGCGGGCGCGCCCCACGCTCCCTTCTTCATGGTGAACAAGTCGTTCGGCATTCACGGATCTTGGGCACGACGGTGGGCGTGCCGTTTGTACAAGCACCGCGCCTCTTTTCAAGCCCTGAGATCTTGGAGTCGCAATTTAATTGAGCCGTCAAAATGGCTCAATTTTTTCGAGTTGATTCAATTTTGTGGTAGCAGCTTCAGCTGGCTCAATTTTTGTGATTATGGCACAATTTCTGTCAAGATGGCTCAATTTTTGCCACGGCGGCTCAATTTACACCAAAATGGCAGAACCCATCACGCTGGTAACCATTCAGTTTTCGGGCCCTCGTGGGCCAGCCAGCACGCGCGCGCAAGCCCACCCGCAAGCGCTCGCGCGCGCGCCATATACGTAGGATGCGTAATGTTCTGGAAAACTCGCATGTTGGCTTGCGCCATCGACGGTCAGCTAGATTTCGGGTGACACGCCCGCGCGCGGGCCCCCCGATTGCGCGCGCGCGGATCGACGCGCGCGTGGCAAATATTAATATATTTGACCATATCATGGAAACCTCGCAGGCCGGGAAACTAAAGCGAAACGGTAAGCAACGGGATTTCGATCGCGCGTGGTCCACCCGATCGCGCGCGCGCGGACGCGCGCGTGGCGAGTTTTGTATCGCCGCACACGGTCAGCTGCCATCTTGCTCTGGAAACTAAAGTGAACCCTTAACGGTGACCGGCGGGATTTCGGGTGACCCGCCCGCGCGCGGGTCACCGAATTGCGCGCGCGGCGCGCGGACGCGCGCGTGGCGAGTTTTGTATTGTGCACAATAGAAAAGTCGCCAACAATAGAAAACTCGCCATGTTGGCCTGGAAACTAAAGTGAACCCTTAACGGTGACAGATTGGATTTTGAAGTTAACATGCGCTTTCTGATATTTTTCACAAATGAAAGAGTCGCCATGCACGCCTGGAAACTAAAGTGAACCTTAACGGTGATCGATTGGATTTTGAAGTTAACATTCGTTTACTGATATTTCACACATGGAAAATATAAGTCACTGTGTTGGCCTGGAACCGAAAGTGAATATTTAACGGTGGCCGATTGGATGTTGAAGTTAACATGCGTTGAAATTAATTGCGTGTTCTGACGAAAAGAATACAGCCACGCTAAAGGAAACCATTCGCGGTTACCGATTTGAGTTTCACTTAAGTGTCTTCCGTGCGCAAGCGACTTCAAACATAACGCACCGCCGCGCGTTGGTTTTCACGAGTCAGCTTCGCTATTGTTGTCGGTCCTCCTTCTCCCCCTCCTCCTCCTCCTCCTCGCCCTCCTCCTCCTCCTCCTCCTCATCCTCCCCCTCCCCCTTCTCCCCCCCCCCCTCCGCTGTATAGAGGTCCTTCTCTTCTTCGCCTCTCCCCTGATCCCATCGCTATCCTCGCAGTCGGCCCCGCCCTCGCACCCCTCCCCCCCCCTCGCGCTGGGTGCGCGCGCGCTCGAGCGCGCGCGCGCTCGGCGCAGCCATTCAGGGCCGCCCTCGAGCGCGGCTAGCGCGCCGGGCGCGCCCGCTGGGGCCCGCAGCAGCGCGCGGCGACGCTGCGAAGGCGCGGCGGGGGGGGGGCGGAGGGGGAGGGCCCGCCAGGATGCCAGCCATGTCCTACAATCCCTCATCCCGCGGCGCGCCCGTGAGGGGCCTGGCGCGGGATATGGGTCAGCCAGGATGCGGGCATCGACCCTGAAATCGGATCCCACGCCAGGCCCCGCATGGACGCGCCGAGGAATGAGGAGCTGGCGTGGCTGTTCGACGCGGCGTTCGAACGGGCGGGGATCCCCGCGTGGGACCCCAAGGAATTGGTCGACGTTGTCGTCGTCCTCCTCCTCCTCCTACCCCTCCTGCTCCTCCTCCTCCTCCTCTAGTTTCTCCAAGATTTTCCTCCTCGATCGAGGGCTCCTCCTCCTCCTCCTTGAGTTCCTCATTGTCCAGGCCCTACTCCTCCTCGAGCCCCTCCTCCCATCCTCGTTATCCTCCTCCTCCTCCTTCCTCCTCCTCATCGCCGCGTCCTTCTAGGACGTGCCCAAGCCCATTGTTCTGTCGGGGCGCCTGGGCGCGTCGCCATCGAGGAGAGCCTGCAGACTAGCGCGCTGGCGCTTCGTTCGGGCATGCGCGTCCCACCGTGCCCTGCTGAAGGCCTCCACGACCCAATCCTCCCCGATCGTCCTCCTACCCTGTCGTCGTCTCCCTCGACCCGCCTCGATCAGCATATGCCCCCCCCCCTCCCGGTTCCAGGCCATGGCGACGCCCCCCCGCCACCAGAAGGGCGCCGAGCTGCATGACATGCCAGCGCTGGTGCAGGCGCCGCACGCGGGGGGGATTGGGGAGGGTAAATGAGATTCGAAGGAGACGGTCGTGGAGACGCCAGGCCTGGAATTTGACGAGGAACGGGGGGCGAGGGGGGGGGGGGGAGGAGGGAGATCGACAGGGAGTGGGGGAGTGGAGGACGAGAACGAATAAGGGGAAGGGGAACGCACGGTACGTGGGCATCTCCCCTCTCGCGGCGCCAGGCGCTGACCGCGCAGATCGACGATGCGACGGCCCCCATGATCCAAGGCCCGAAGGGGCATCGATGAGGAGGATAAGGACGAAGTGAGGATGATGAAATGATGTTGGGGACATGTGTTAAGTAAGGAGATGGGGGCACTCGAGTAGCAGCGTGAAGGTTCAAGGGGGAGTCGATGAGGAACGAGATGACGAGGAACACAGCGATGAGGGCGACAAGGGCAAGCAGGAGGTTAAGATGAGGTGAGTGCTAAGGTGTATGATGAGATGTGGGATGAACAGAGTAGGAGGACGATGTAAGAGCGAGGGTAAGGATGTGTACATTTGAGAGGAAGGTTAGGATGAGAGTAAGGATGAGGATGAGGGTAAGGATGGGGATGATAATGAGGATGGAGGTGAGGAGACATCAGTGATGAGGATGAGGATGAGGATGAGGATGGAGGTAAGGATGAGGATGAGGATGAGGACGAGGATGAGAGACTCCATGGGTCGAGAAAGGGATCGGTGATGGCCCCGATCGTGAGGCTTCATGAACATCCCGTACTTCGCGCACTACAGCGCCCCGCGGGGCAACACGCGGCCCATCGTCGAGCAACTGACGGCGCCTGGGGGACGGGGGCTCGCAGCAGATCTCGAGCAGAAGGGGGGTAGCGAAGAGGAGACAGATGAGGACTGAACGCCGAGCGGAGCGGAGGGTCGAAGTGACGACAGAGGACGGTGCCATCGTTGTCGTCATGATCGCCATCTTGACCGTCGCCATGACTCACGGCGACGTACTGTCAAGAATACCGTCACAACGACGGTCACGATGACGATCGTGACGACCGTGATGGCACTGGCGCAGGCGCTATCCAGGAACGATCGAGGATGCAAGCGATGGGGGGGGGAGGGGGTGCGAGGCGTTCGAGCGCACCTACGCGGCCATGGACAGGATCACCAAGGGCGGACGCTTCTGTCAGAGCAACATGGAGGCCCATCGCGGGGAGGGAGGACTAGAGAGATGGAGGAGGTTGGCTTCCTTGAGGATGGGGAGGGGTGGCGGGGCAGGACAACGGGGAAGGGAGGGAGAGCAGGAGGAACGGGGAGCAATGAGAAGAGGAGTATCCGATGAGGAAGCAGCGAGGGGAAGAGGACTGGTTACGGTGAGGGCGAGTGTCGATGATGATGGTGATGGGTGTCCATCTCCAGGGTTGCTGGATAAACATAAGATAGCCGTGCAAGCAATTTGGTAGGGATCAGCACTGGCCCGAGTGCTGATCCCTAAAAGTGGGTGTTCTGCATTCAGTGTCGCAGTGCCATGTTTTCAGACTGTGCGAATGAGAGCCGTCTTCACAATTATCTCTCACCCGTCGTCGATGCGGATGTTGATGATGGTGATGAGGATGAGGCCGATGATTGCGATAGTGGTGATGCTACTAATGATGCTGATTCGTGTGGTGACGATGTTGCCGACGAGCGAAAGCGATGACGGCGACGGTGATGATGCGTGTTGCGATGGCGGTGACGATGCAAGCCAGTGTGGTCCACGACAAAGCTGCTGATGTTAGTGATGGTCATGATGCGAATGATGTTGACGATGCTGGTGGGTTTGATGCAGTTGGTGCTGGCGGTGGTACCGCTCACAATGATGATGCTGATAATGCTGATGATGATGATGATGGTGACTGTGCTGGTGGTGATGGTGATGGTGTTGCTGATGGTGATGATGATGATGATGATGAAGATGTTGATGCTGATGATGAGGATGAGGATGATGAGGATGATGCGGATGATGATGATGATAATGATGATGATGATGATGGCGATCCTTGTCGCGTGATAGGCGATCTGGACGGCGGCCTTCCAGCAGACGCTCGCGGTCCAGTACAAGCAGGTGAAGGGAAAGAAGCCGCCGACGAAGTTCATCGCTGGCCACAGGCCAGCACGCCGCCACATGCGCAGATGCAGTGTCGAGGAGGGGCTGGATGATGAGTGGGTTGTGCGTGCGCGGGACATGCGTGTGGGGGCCAGTTGCGCGCGCACGAGTGCCTGCGTACATTATATATATGTGTATACATATACGTATAAATGTGCATATATAAACATATATGTATATATGTCGGCGCATGCGCGAACGATAGCACGAATGTGCGGACCCACTCCCCCATGCAAACGCACGCGCGGGTGCACCCGCGCGTACATATGTGTATATACTACATACATACACATATATATATATATATATATATATACATGTATGCGTGTTGGCACACGCACAGACATGTATAGATATCAGCGTCGTGTGTACATATATCTATATATATATATGTGTGCACTCACGTAGCGCACATGCGCGCAATCACCCTTCGAATGAGGGAGGGCGAGAATGAGAGAAAGACAGAGAGGGAGAGAGAGAGAGAGAGAGAGAGAGAGAGAGAGAGAGAGAGAGAGAGAGAGAGAGCGAGATAGACGAGAGCGGCGCGAGGTACCTGAACTCCCGCGCCTTCCGCATCGGCTTCGCCCACTGGCAGCGCGTGCGGAATTCCCAGCTCGGCTCCGCCGAGGTTAGGGGGCCGCTGGGGAGCGATAGTCGGAGAGTCAGCGTTGCCAGCAGCTTCGTGCGCATGCGTCATTTGGCGGAACGCTCATGTTGCATCGCGCATTCCGATCACACTGTGCGCAACATTGTGCGTATGTGCGTGCATGTGTGCATGCGTGATGTATTTATGTATGCATGGGTGTATGTAGGTATGCATGTTTGCAGTTATGTAGCTATGTATATATGTATATATGTCTATATGTATGTAGATATGTATGTATGGATGTAGGTATACATGGTTGTATGCACGGTTGTTTGTATGTATGTTTGTAGGTATGCATGTGTGTAGATCGGTAGATATGTTTGTGTGTATGTATATTTGCATGTATGTACGTGCGAATGTTTGTGCGTTTGTATGTATGGGTGTCGGTATGTAGGTATATGTTTACATCGGTGTCACCTTTCCTGCCCCAGGGCATCCGACCTCGTCTTCTCTGCCCGAGGGCGCGAGAGACAAACGCAGGGGTGGTAGGTCGATGAAGAAGACGTGGAGGATGTGGATGACTCGATCATCAGGCGTCACCTCGAGGACGCGCTGGAGATCCAGGAGGGGGCGGGGGCAATGGCTCGAGGGGCTGACCTGGTCCTTGGCCTCGAAAACCTACGTGCGTGCGGCGGTTAAACAACGGCTTTGTGATGGCCGCGTAATGTTTCGTCATCTTCCTCTTCCTCGTCTTCCTCCTATCCCCATCCTCCTCCCGCTCCTCCTCGACCGAAGCCTGGGGGAGAGCTATGCTACGCGTGTCTGATGCTTCGGCCTTCGCAGAGTCCACGCTGCACCCCGCCCCGTGCTCCGATCTGGGGCCGCCCGACCCCCCAGCATGATGGAGGCTGACCGACCATGCCCTGCATGGACATTGCTGACTTGCTCGACACATGCACCTCGAACCTCCTGCTTCGCACAGTCGGCCCGCGTAAGGGTGGGCAACCTTCCCAAGGGTACCCTTGCATCCTTGCCCCTTAAACCTAAATGATGCCCTCCAAGGCCCTTGCGTCCTCACCGCGCATCTCCTTGATGCGGGTTGACTGCTTTCCCGCTCCATGCGTGTGAGCGCCTCCCGTCGAGAGGACTCTCAAGAAGGGTGGCTCCGAGGCGGCGCCAGAGGTCAAAGGAGAGGTGGGATTGGCGATCGCGGACGCGCAGGCCGACGAGGACGACGAGGACGAGATGGCGATCGAAGATCAGCAGGAGGAGGAGGCAGCTGCGGCGCCAGCGCAGTCGACAGCTGCGAGCGCAGGACAGGTCGTGAAGATGCCCTTCTGGCGGAGTATCACGGGCAAGAGCACGCCCAGGAAGAGGAGGAAGAGGTGCAAGAAGGAGCACGTGAAGGATGAGTTCGATGATGATCGAGCTGCAGCGCCCGCTCACGGCATCGAGGCCGTGATCGACGGCACCCCGCCGCAGATGGCGAAACGTGCTGCGCGCGCTGCAGGATCAGGCGCTGCAGGATCAGGCGCTGCAGGATCAGGCGCTGCAGGAGGCGCTGCAATGAAGAGGCCCGCGGCCGCGCCCATGAAAAGGCCAGCGGCCGCGAAGAAGCGCGCAGCCCAGGCAACCGAGAAGAAGGAGGAGGAGCAGGTGCCCGCAGCCGAGGGGGCAGCAGCCGCGGCCGGCGAGGAGGATCAGGCTGCAGCCGAAGAGGACACGGCAGCCGAACGGGGACAAGGAGGAGAAGGAGGCGGCTGAGGGCGAGGAGGAGGAGGAGGAGGCGGCGGGCGCCGCCGAGGAAGAAACCGAGGAGATCATCGAGGTGGATGATCAGGCCTGGGCGCCCGACATGACGGTTCCAGCTGATGACAACTACGGCGACTACACGCGCTGGGGCGCCCAGGTCATGAAGGACACGAACGGCAAGCTGTGGCGCCTCAAGTTCAGGAGCCGCCGCAGCGAGGGCTACGACACGATCGCCTATATGGAGGATGAGGCGACCTCGGGCGGCTGGTCGCAGCTTATCCAGGTCAGCGACAAAAGCTGGACCGACAGCATCATGGCGAAGTACGACGCGGGCTGCAAGGCCACCATGAGCCGCCTCGTCATGACGTGCCTGTTCTACTTTGCACTGAAGAACCAGACGGCCGACAAGCAGAAGGTGGCGCAGATCAGGGATCACCTCATCGCGAGTCTCTGATGCGCACTCCCAGAGAGGACAAAAACACGGAGGAGGATAAATGGAGAAGGGGATCAGGTGGAAGAGCCAGGAGGGAGGAGGAGACTGAGGAGGGGGAGGAGGCGGAGGAGGAGGAGGAGGGGGAGGAGGAGGAGGAGAACGAAGAGGATGTGCAGAGAGCTGCAGATCGGGGGCTGGGCAGGCTCGTCGAAGAAGGGCCTCGAGTCCTCGAGCTCGATCTGGCCTACGGGATCGCTCGAGGAGAAGGGGTGGGATGGCGTCGGAGGGAGATCGGAGGAGGACGGCTGGCGAGTGTAAGGTGCAGCTCGAGCTCGACGTCGAGTCGATCTTCCCGTGCATGCAGATGCACGTGATTGTGCTGCTCAGGCACCTCGCGGGGCGGCCCCGAGAAAACCCCGAGAAGGCGCAGGATAGGGTCCCGAGATGGCTCCAGGCCCGAGGTACCAGATCGAGGACGGCCGTCGATCGTCCTCGATAGCCATGGGTATATTGGGCTCGAGCTTTCTTGGGGCTCTCCCTGGGCCCTCTTCGGACCTTCTTGATCCAGGGAAGTTACATGTGAAAGATGGGGGTCTCGTGCACTGCAGTGTCCATGTTTGCAGATGCCGACGCCGGCATCTGACATGGACACTGTAGTGGATCGGTGGATGGCACTATGTATGGTACAAGACGCACTGATGGATGCATGGTGGATGTATGGTGGATCGATGTATGGTACCAGACGCACTGAGCAACATTCGCAGTGGAAAGCCCCCATCGCTTCATCCGTCTCCATCCCCACTTCAGGGCGCCAGTTGGGAGCAGTCCACTCTGTATCTGTTCGCCCGAAGTGGGGGGGGGTGGGAGATGAAGCGATGGATACTTTGCAGTGCTATGTGTCTTCCCTGAGGTCGGCGATGAAGAGTCCTTTTGCTCCGCTCATCTGTCTCGATCTCAGCTGTCCACTCTTCGTGTGTTCAATCCTCTTGGCCGCAGGCACGCGTGAGCGGGCCGCGGCATGCGCCCCCGGCGCTGGCGCGGGGGGGTCGAGGGCGCGCGTGGATGGCAAGGGGGTTGCTGGTGGCAGCATGGGTCCATGAATGGCAGGGCTGGGATTCGACTGCAGCACGTGCTATGTATAGGATGGCGCGCCTCGCGGACCAGAGCTCAGACACGCAGCTGCATGCTGCCAACGTTCCATGGTGCCGATGCAGGCGCAAAATGCGCATGAGCGGGTCTGCAACCTTGGCTTCGATCGCAGTGGTCAGAACCGTGCTGGCCCCCATGTGGGAGTGGCGTCGACTGGGGGTGAGGATGAGCGTGGATGGGGAGGCAGGCACGGGTATGAAGTGGGGTGGGGATGGGGGAGGCGGCAGGGCCACGATGTATGCAGTCGATCGGTCCAGATTAGTAGGTCGACCCTGCCAAAGCAAGGGCGCCCTTGTGTCCTGTGCCTCGCGTTCCATGCCCCCCCCCCCAGATCCCCGTGGCAATGTAGCCCTCAGAAGGCTCTTGTGTCCTGTCGCGCGTCCTGTCCAACCATGTGGTTCAACGTTCGGCGAGTGCAGGTTGCATTGTGTAGCCGCTTTCCAGATCGAGCAGCCCCCTGGAGCCGAGCCCCGCTCGCGGGGCCCCTGGAGCCGACGCACCGCGGCAGCAGGCGAAACGGGGCGCACAGTTGTGGGCAGGAGTTGGTGCCTGCACATGATCAGAGCATGATGGTGCATACGTATGTATATATGTGCATGTATGGGTGGTGCACACGTAACGTAAATATACACGCATACGAGTACCAACATGTGTGCATATATACACATATGTAGATACATGTGTGTATATGCATCTATGTGTCAATATATATATATATATATATATGCACATATCAGGTTCGTGCACGCATGTGCGTGCACATGCATCGTGTACGCAACACTCGTCATTTTAATGCCCTTTAATGTTCTATATGTGTTCCCGTTCCCGTTCCTCCTCCTCCTCCTCCTCCGCCTCCTCCCCGAGGGTCCCCCTCTTCCTCCCCCTCTCCCTCCCTCCTCCGACCCTCCTCCTCCTCCTCCTCCTCCTCCTGAGGCCTCCTCCTCCTCCTCCTCCCCCTCCCCGCCTCCTCCTCCTCCTCCTCCTCCTCCTCATCACCTTCCTCCGCCTCCCTCCTCCTCCTCCCCTGCTCCTCCCCCCTCCTCCCGCCTCCTCCTCCCTCCTCCCTCTACTCCCTCCTTCCTCCCTCCTCCTCTTCCTCCTCCTCCCCCCTCCTCCTCCCCCTCCTCCGCCTCCTCCTCCTCCTCCACCTCTCCTCCCCCTCCCCCTCCTCCTCGATATCTCCCTCGATCCTCAGGTTGGTCGGGGCGCGACTGATCGGCTTGCTCCGCCTCGTGATCGCGCGCGGGGCCGCGACCGCTAGGCGCGCATGCGCGCGCGTGCAGCGCGCGCGATCGGCACGTGCGCGCGGGCGCATGTGCGCGCGCAGCGAGAGACCGCCCCCCCCCGCCCCCCCTGCCGCCCAGGTGCACCTGGGTTTGCTCGGCGCCGTGGTCGACAGTACTGGTGGCGATGTGTGTTTTGGCTTCTCTACTACACTTACAACGCAGCAGCGCGACTGGGCGCCCCTGATAGGGGCGCCCGTTGGCGGGCCCTCGAGGTGTGTGTGTGTGTGTGTGTGTGTGTGCGTGCGTGCGTGCGTGCGTGTGTGTGTGTGTGTGTGTGTGTGTGTGTGTGTGTGTGTGTTGTCGGTGGTGGTGTGTGTGTGTGTGTGTAGTGTACGTGCGCGTTTGGTCGTTTGTGTGTGGGTGTGTGTGTGTGTGTGTGTGTTGTGTGTCGTGTGTGGGGGGGGGGGGGGGGGCGTGGACTGGCCGCCCTGCACCATGGCCCCGCGGGTTGGCGTCGGGCACGCGCGCGGGGGCGCGTCGCGGGGGCGCTGGGTCTCCTCGGGCGCGTCGAGCGCCATGCAGATCCAAGCGGGGGAGGCGCAGCCCCCGCTTGCTTCCGCGCGGCGGATCCGACGCGCCCGAGGCGCCCGAGCGCCCCCGCGACGCCCCCGCGCGCGTGCCCAGACGCTCGCCCGCGGGCCAGCGGTGCCGCGAGGTCGGCCATCGCCCCCCGCCTGGGGTTGGCCTGCCAGCAACATTGCAGGGCGTTCGAGCCCCCGCCCCTTTGCGCGGGCTCGAACGTTCTCTTTTTTTTTTTTTTTTTTTTTTTTTTTTTTTTTTTTTTTTTTTTTTTTTTTTTTTATTTTTTTTTTTTTTTTTTTTTTTTTTTTTTTTTTTTTTTTTTTTTTTTTGTTTTTTTTTTTTCGAATGCTCTTTAATGTTCTTCAATGTTCTTTAATGTTCTTTAATGTTCTTGTATGTAATGTTCTTTACTGTTCTTTAATGTTCTTTAATGTGCTTTAATGTTCTTTAATGTTCTTTACTGTTTCTTTAATGTTCTTTAATGTTCTTTAATGTTCTTTAATGTTCTTTAATGTTTTAAGTTTATGTAAGGTTCTTTAATGTTCTTTAATGTTATTGTATGTAATGTTCTTTAATGTTGCTTAATGTTCTTTAATGTTCTTTAATGTGCTTTAATGTTCTTTAATGTTCTTTAATGTTCTTTACTGTTCTTTAATGTTCTTGAATGTTCTTTAATGTTCTCTAATGTTCTCTAATGTTATCTAATGTTCTTCAATGTTCTTCAATGTTCTTTAATGTTCTTTAATGTTCTTTAATATTCTTTAATGTTCTTTAGTGTTATTGTATGCAATGTTCTTTAATGTTCTTTAATGTTCTTGAATGTTCTTTAATGTCCTTTAATCTTCTTTAATGTTCTTGAATGTTCTTTAATGTGCTTTAATGTTCTCTAATGTGCTTTAATGTTCTTTAATGTTCTTTAATGTTCTTTAATATTCTTGTATGTAATGTTCTTTAATGTTCTTTAATGTTCTTTAATGTTCTTTAATGTTCTTTAATGTGCGTTAATGTTCTCTAACGTTCTTTAATGTTCTTTAATGTTTTTTTTAATGTTCTGTAAGGTTCTTTAATGTTCTTTAATGTTCTTGTATGTAATGTTCTATAATATTCTTTAATGTTCTTTAATGTTCTTTAATGTTCTTTAATGTTCTTTGATGCCCGCTCGCCCTTAAGGGCGAGGCGACCCGTGCGCGCGCGAGCGGCGGGGGGGGGGGGGGGCTGCGGCGGGGAGTGGCGCCGCATGAAGCGCGGGCGCATTCGGGGCGCGGTGGCTCGCGGGCGCGGGCGCGGGGGGGGGGGGTCGCGCCCGCGAGGGCGCCGGCGCGGGGCCGCGGGGCGGGGCGCGCGGCGCGGCCCGTGCGCGGCCGCGCGCAGGCGCCGCGGGGCGGCGACGTCGGCGGCGCGCGGCCGACCCGCGGCAGGATGGGCGCGCGCGCGGCCCGCGCGCGCCGATGGACCGCGATGCAGATATCTGCGTCGTCACGCGGCTATGGACCGCGATGCAGATATCTGCGTCGTCACGCGGCTAGCAGGCGAAATGGGACGGCGCGTAGCCGACCTGGATATTGCCGCATTGTGCGTGCGCGCGCGCGCGTGCGCGCGCGCCTGGCAATATATCGTTGCCAGGCGCGCGCCCGCGCGGGCGCGCGGGCGCAGCTGCGCCCGCGCCCGTTGCAGCGACGTCACTCGGCCGCTGGAGGGAAAACGTGAGTGCGCGCGTGCCCGCGTGCAAGCACGGCGCCGCCCTCGCATTTGCGCGCGAACGCGTGTGTGCACCTTTATAGCACACCTACATATAGCTGTATATACGCCACTAGGTGTGCGTGTGTGTATATATGCGAGTGCTTGCACAAGTGCCCACATGGCGTGCGTGTAATTATAATGAATATGCGTTTAGTTGCGCGTGTGTGCCTGCATATGCATGCAGTTGCGCTGGGCCATGGCGAGCGCCCGTGGTGTGATTGTGTTTCAGGTGTATGCGCAGCCACGCACATACAACTATTTTATATATATATATATATACATACATGTATACAGCTGCAACATATACGCAACAGAAAACAAGTGTGGACGTTGGATGGCCCACCTTTGCCGACCTGCACATCTTCGCATCGAGTGTTGCTTGTGTGCACGTTGCCGACTTGGATATTGCCGCAAGCTCCCGCGACCTGGATATTGCCGCTGCGGAACAGTAGTGAGGTGCAGGTTGGAATCATCCCTTGGGCGTGGCTCGATCGCCCCCGCCTGATGGCACTAGGACTCTCGCATATCGATCGGGCTCGAAAAATGGCGTAGGAAAGTGGGCCCAGGGCCATGGTTGCACACCGCCGTCGGATCTCAGGGTGTGTATATATATATATATATATATATATATAGATATGGGTCCACGGGAGGCGATGCCGCCGAAGAGGGCTGCGCCGAAGTCCGCCGCGGAGAAGGCTGCGGCGAAAGCAAAGAAGAAAGCCGCGCGTGCCGTCAGCAAAGACCACGAGAACGATTTGCAGCGCATGCGGACCGCAGCCCCCGACGCCTCGCGTGTGTGATGCACGGTTGTGCGTCCGGTACCATGCGTGCGAGGCCTTGCCATATCTATATGTGTATATATGTGTGTATGTACACAAATCGAAGTGCATGCATTTGCAGATCTGTATATATGCGTGTATGTTTATGTATACGTGTAAATGTATATATGTGTATGTCTATGTATATGTATATGTATATGTATAGGTATATGTATTTGTGTATGTGTATGTGTATATGTGTATGTCCTGTTCCTGTTCCTTTTAAAAAACAACAAACATACAGCATTCCATGTCTGTGCCATTCGCGTCGCAGGCGGAATTCCCGAGCGGCCCCGCCCCCGCCCCTCGCAACCCTCAGCTGCAGCAGGACGCGCCTCGCATCCCAGAAAGAAGAAGTGAAGCTCGAGTACAAGCGGCAGAGCCGCCAGGGCCTCAAGAGGCGGTTGAAGAAGTGGCGCAAATACGGAGCTTGGGCGGGATCTTGCCCTTGTCCCTCCACTCCTTCCCCATGCGTCCCCATTGGCGCCCGTCGGGGCGCCACCTCGCCCAAGATCTTGCCCCCCCTCGGGCCCCCCCGCCCCGCTCCTCATCATGCCATCGCGCGTCGTCAGATGAAAGAGCCTATGATTCCCGAGATGGGGGCTCATAGCATGAACGCCTGCATTCGGTCACAGAGTCGCCTTCCGCTTCGCTGAATGCATGGGAACAGTGGTCCTCGAGATGGCGCTGGGAGGGGAGGCGACTTCCGCTTCGCCGAATGCGTCAAGACCGAGATGGAGTCCAGGGAGACCAGCTCCAAGCACAAGGACCAATTGCTCAATTGGGATCGTCTGCTGACCGAGTGCGGCTGGTCGGAGGAGAATAAAGCCACTCCGACTGGCGAGAGGCTTGTCCCGCCAATGGCAACGACGGAGAAGTCTCGCAGTGGGCATGAGGATAGGGAGGATCAAGGTGGGAGGGGATCAGGGATGGAGGACACGAGTTGTGTAATCAGGGGGAGGATCAAGGTAGGAGGGATCAGGGGGTAGGAGGGGATCAGGGATGCGCAATAGTGTGAGTTCGGTGTTCGGCACCTCGGGCGTTGCAGCATACTGGCACTACCCTTCTTGAGGTCATGGCGGCTTACGCGTTTCGAGTCGGGCGTGTTCGTCCAGTTTCGGGTCACGATGCCATCGCAGATCGATCCAGCTAGAGCTGGAACAACGACGTAGAGAGATGGGGCCTATATAGGGCTCGGGTCGTGATGTCTCACTGTGTTTCAATGCTTTCGAGATCTCGAAAGCATTGAAACACAGTGAGATCTCGACGTCGACGGATCTCAGGGTGGGCATGCCGTAACATCACGGCCGCGCAGGGCCATGCAGCGGGCCGAGACCATCAAATGATACTGCACGAAGCTCAAGGACACTCACATCACCAAGGACGCCCAGACGGGCGAGACGCTCTACCGCCGCCTCTCGAAGGAAGGCGAAGAGAAGGAGGCAGCTACGCCCGTGTAAAACCAGGTAGATATATGCGCGTGTGTATACAAAGACATCTATGCATGTATCTTTGTATATTTGTATACACGTACATATGAATGTACATACGCGTGTGTGTATCCACACGTACCTATGAACAATGATACGATACCCCATGATCCCTATGATAACGGTCCCATACAAGAGCCGAGTTCGGACACATGCACCCGACCATCCTCATAGCCCCCTGGAGGAGGATGGGGAAGGTGAGGATGAGGAGGGAGACAATGACGAGCAGGCCAGAAGAGAAGAGGAGGAAGGATGGCTGCGACATCGGCCGCCCGCTGGAGGTCAAGAAGCAGATCCTCGAGACCCGCATGAGCACGGGCCGCGTCGACCCCTCCCAAGTTGTCGGTGCCGGCTCGAAGGATTGCTGGGGCTTGGGCGCGTATGTATCATGCTCGAGTGGGCACGTCAGTTTTCGATCACGTGAATACGATCAGGGTTCGAAGCAGTAGCGCATGATAAAGATAAGGAGTCGGAGTGGTTGCACCCTTTCCCTTGTTTTGCATTCCTCGCACTCGTCGTTGCCCTCCTCCCCCCACCTCCCGCGTTCGGAGGACAAGTGCGATGACTCCGACGACAGCTACTCCGAGTACTCGAGTGACAGCGAGAGCAAGGAGCCCAGAGGGGGTAGGGGAATTGAGTGGAGATGATATGCTATATAATAGGTCTAAGGGGAAGGGTGATATGGAAGGATAGGGAGGGAGACAGGGTGGAGCCCAGGAGGAGTCGATATATCGAGGAGGAGGGGGGAGTGGCTTGGCGTGGAGTGCACTGTTCTTGTCATGCATTCCGTCGTCCCTCCTCCCGCGGTCGTGCCCACCTCCCCGTTGATGCATTCCTGAGTCTCGCATCCTGGCGGAGAGGTTTTCCATTTTGATGCGTGCTGCCGCGCGCCAGGAGCCGCCGCGCAAGATCATGAAGACCACAGGCCTGGCGGCCGCATACGGTGAGCTCCTCGGCGAGCGCAGCAAGATCTACGCCCAGCTCGAGGGCATCGACGTGGGGAGGGGGGGCTCCTCCTCCTCCTCCTCCTCCTCCTCCTCCTCCTCCTTCTTCTCTTCCTCCTCCTCCTCCTCCTCCTCCTCCTCCTCATCCCCCTCCCCCTCCCTCCCGCTCCCCCTCCCCCCTCCTCCTCCTTGGAGGCCATCTGTGTGTCCTACTCGCGCGTGGGATCTACCGCGCTTGACCGTGAGTGGTGCTCGAATGTGCCCTTCCCTCCGCTCTTTATCCCCGCCCCGTCTGGTCAATGCTGCTCGTGCTCGGGGTAGGGTAGGTGGAGAACGTGCCGTGGCTGTCGCCGTTCGCGCCTCAAGTGGACGCGGCCCTGTCGCAGCTCACGGCCAACAAGACCGCCCTCGCCGCGGGGATCCAGGGGAAGTCAGCCCCCGCGCCCGTTGAAAGAATGACATCATGAGCAGCAGAACCGTTCAGAGGGGAGGACTTCGATCGATTGTTCGGTCGAGGGGGGCCGTGGATTTTGCATCGAGACAGGTCCCTCACCCATATATATATATATATAGAAGTATATTTGTACAGACACACCTGCCTGCATATGTTTATGTGTATCCACCTCTCCCCCTCTCCTCTCCTCTTCCTCTCATCCTTCTCCAGGGGCACCGCAAACCTCCTCGGCCTGATAGGCTGGTTTCGGTGTGATGCGACAGCAACGCGCCAGAGGATTCGTTAACCAAGCATGGCCGCGAGGATTGCTTGAGTGCAGGGCACCATCCTCGAGCTCGATCCTGCTCCGTCATCTCGATCTGCCCCCTGTCAGCCAGGTCAGAGCCCGACGTCGAGGTGATCAAAACTGAGATCGAGGAGGCACGCTGGCCGCCGACGAGAGGTTCGAGGAAGGAGGGGGAGAAGGATTGAGGAAGGCGGTGGGGAGGGCGAGGCGGGCCCCGAGGGAGAGCGCAAGAGCAGTAGTAAGGAGGGCGAGGAAGGCGAGGAGGAGGGGGAGGAGGAGGAGGATGAGGAGGAGGATAGGAGTCGCGTGAGAATTGATGCTGTCACGAAGTCGCCCGATCCGAGTACGGTGACACGAACGACTGTCGATCGCAGCGCTCTTTACGTGTGTGTTGCTTTGCCGACTCCGATCGCGCACCGGCGAGGCGAAGCGGCTGTGGGGCTTGATTGCTCCAGTGATGGCAACGGTTGCCTCGGCGACGAAAGCCCTGGGCGAATCGCAGTCGCAGTAGAGCTCAGCAGCTAGACCTCCCCCCCTCCCTCGATCACCGCTCTCGCACTTGCTTGCGTGTGCGCGCGCGTGCGAGTGCAAATGAACTGCGTAAAAATTTGAGTACAAGCTGTCCGCGTAAGGTCCGCGCGTATGTAAGCGTTCTCGTCACCAACATGGCGCGCCGCGCTGGCGGCCCGCGTAAGCAACCTATAATGTTTGTATGCCATATCGCGTAAGACCCGCTCCGTTCCGTTACTCACGTGAATGCATGTTGCACGCGCGTATTCGTAGTCTTGCCAGCCCTCGCAGTTTGCCAGCTCAGCGTTGCAGGTCCTTCCAGTTTCCCAGCTCCCACGGCTGCCTCAGCAGGCAACTTTTCGGGCACGTGGTGCCATTGAAGTGCGGATATAAGTTCGAGAGATGGGCTCTCGAACGCGAGCTGAATCAATGATAATGCTGCTGCCCATGATGATGATGATGATGACGACAACGACGATGATGATGTTGATGATGACGATGATGATGATGATGATGATGATGATACTGATGATGCTGATGGTGATGATGATGATGGTGATGGGGAGGAGGAGGAGGAAAGTCCGTTCGGAGGAGGATGAGGGGCGCGGTGACGGAGACGTGGAGCAGTGATGGGGCAGTCAGCAGCTGGCCAGATTCACAATTGCATGGCATGTATATACAGTTTGCTCGTGGCCGACCCGTTCCAGGTATGCAGCCAGACCGTCGCGCGCGATGAAATGGCGGCTGGTCTGCAAGTTCAGATTGAGAGGCCAAGCAGATGCTTCGAATAAGAATGCTGGGAGGTCAACCCGTCGCGCTTCCGGTTGATCAAAGCACACCCCCCCCAAACGATAGATTTGCAGTTGTCCGTAGTCGTCCAGCTTAAGGGTCTAGCCCTGAGGTATTGTTTTCTTTGCTTTTGGGCTGCATTGACAGATCCCCATGAGATCCTGACGTCGCATGGTTAACGTGACATGGTGGTCCTAGTTCGGGCCCGTGGGCCATCGATGCCGTTCGAGTGCCTACAGATCGGTCGTGATGATGTTGGATGCGTTGTCCAGCGGTGTTGCATTTTTCGCGACGTCGGATCTCAGGGTGATCGACCTCCTCGATTCCCATTTGATGACGGGCCGCGCTGCTGCCGCTGAGCTTGAGCTTGGATCCGCGGTGCCGACGTCGACAGCGGGGGCGCCGCAGGACGTCGAGGCGGATGGCTTGCAGCGCGATTGCACTGAAGTGTGGAATTGAGATTTGGGCGGCGTGAATGGGGAGGCGGCGAAAGGCACGGGGGAACGGGGGGATGGGAGAAGGAGGGGAATGGAGGAGACTGGGGCCTAAAGGAACCCTGGGGGGAAACCGAGCTGCGCCAATGCGCGCGTCGATCGCCGATGGGCGACGCCTCGCACGGGCTTCCTCGGAGCTCGGCCCTTTAGAGATATAGAGGGGTGCAGTCGGTTTGCTTGCCATGTCGCCCAGGGCGATAATGGCGTCGGATTGCGGCGCTATCTTCTCGGAAGGTGGTCTGAGGGGGAGCTGGCGGCGAAGGAAAGGGGGTTCGAACAATTCATGCACGCCCGATCTTCCCAGATGAGTCTCGCTGAACGTTCCCGTTGGCTGCTCATTTGGATTCGGCCTGGCCCCCGCCGCCCCCACCCTCAGCGAGGAATTCTAGGACGATCGGGTTGCATGTCCCTGAGATCCTGGCGCCCCAATGCTTTTTTCGAGACGTATCGTTGTCGACAGGTTTCGGGCCTTGCCCCCCCGCAGCTCGATCCAGCTTGAAAAATGCCGCGCAAGAGTTGGCTCCGATCGCGCATGCTTGTTTACGAGGTTTTGATTTCCCACGCATGCGATCTCAGGGTTAAATTGTTCGGGGAGGATGTGTGCGCGATCGCGTGGCACGCGCAGCGCGCTGGCAGCGTGGGCGTCGGGGACCTGGCGCTGGACCCCGCCCAGGCGTCGAACCACCGCGCAGGCCGCTTGAGAAATGTAGTCCGTGCCCAAGCCAGGGAGCGCTTCTATGTAACTACCATCCCCGTTTGGGACAGTGATGCTGAACGGCGCACGAAGATGCAATTCCCGATCATGCTGCCGCACGAAGCGTTCCACCATTCCTACCAGGAGCGGCCAGAGGGCTACAACTTGACAGACGTGCCCCTCGAAGAGCTCCCCCCGCACTACCCTGGGCACGCAGTTACCGTCGAAAAGGGCCGAGCGAACACCTTCCCGATCGGCTTTTACAGCGATGGCGTGCCGCGCACTAAACGCGACACGTTCATCTGCATGTATTGGAGCAGCTGCATAACTGGGAAACGACACACGATAGCAACCATCAGAAAGTCAGACCTCTGCCAGTGTGCATGCAGAGGAATGTGCACAATCGCCTCGATCATGGCTGTGGCTGTCTGGTCGCTCAATATCCTGGCGACAGGTTTGTTTCCAGCTGTGTCCCACGACGGGCTGCCATTCGACAGCGAGTGGCGGGCCAACATGCGCGGGTTCGCCCTTGCGGGCGGACTCTGCGCTGCCCTTGTGGAGCTCAGGGCAGACATGATTGAGATCATCAGCGCCTGTGGTTTTCGCCGTTGGGACAACATCCAACACCCCTGTCCGTGCTGCACCACAACCAAGGAGGACATGTTCTCCTTTCCTCTGAATATTGATAGTGCTGTTTGGGAGGATAAAAACCCAGCTGTTTATGAACGAATGGTTAAATCATGCATAAAAAAGTTATCGTGAAGGCAAGAGCCCAGCTGAACCGGATAATTCGTTCATGCCGACATGACGCAGAGTTGTGGGGGTGCGGAACATGGCGAGCCGTGCCCGAGTTTAACCTCGAGGCGGGATGGCGGTTGGTCCCACGCGGGCGTGTGGTCGACACGCACTCACTGGGCGATGTCCACGTCGCGCCAGACGACCCCTTGGAGCTCACGTTTTTCAATTCTAGGAACGAAGCGGGCCTCACCTTTGTGGCACCAATTTTCGGCGTAATTGGGTTCACGATCTCGATGATTGCGCTTGATCCTATGCACGTGTGCGACTTGGGCACATCCCAGCGGCTCATCGGCACAATATTCTGGCAACTGATTCTGAACAATTTCGCCCAGGGCCGTGCTACGACAGTGCTCGTCAGGAACCACGACAACATTATCCATCTTAGACGCACGATCAAGTCTTTCTAGATTGCAGCTGGCCTTACTCGGGAGAAAGGCAAATGCAGAATCCAGAAGTTGTCTCTCAAAATGTTGGGGAAACACACAGATGCTTCAAAAATGATGCTGCGTGCAAAAGCCGCCGAGACTCGGCACCTAGCGCCGTTACTCCCAATGATTTGCAGTGAGAGCCCGCAGTGCTTCCGCGAGGGTGGATCAGTCTTGCTTCCTTTTGCAGCCAAGGCATTCGCAGATTTTCAGGCACTTGTAACGAATTCTCCCAGGCACCTGTCCCCGTCTGATCAGAATGCGCTTGAGAAGCACATGATTGACTTTTTGCAATATCATAAAGCTGCAGGCGGTCACCTAGTCTATACATTCCACATGGCGTTCCACATTGCTAAGCAATCGCGGACGGGCGGGAATCCCTGCTTCCGGTGGACGTATAATGACGAAGGGGAGAACCGTGTCCTTGCCCAGGTCTCCAAGAGCCTGCACCAGGGATCGACCTTTTATTTCGCACTGCTCGAGAATATGTTGCCACACTTGTGCTGAAAAATGCGCGCGCGTCGTCGGCGTGCAGGGCGTGCAGGGCAGGAAGGGGGGCGCAGCCCCTTGCTCTCCGCGTCCCTGAGATCCTCACACCCCTCGAGATTCGGGCCCTGGGACCCCCGCGTATCGATCTGGCGCGGAAATGCCTAGGCCAATCGCGATTTCGCTCGCGATGCTGCAACATGTGGGATCTCAGGGATCATGCCTCCCCCACGGTACGTATGCATGTGCGTGTATGTGCGCCCGCGCGCGCCTGCGCTGCTCGACGTACTTGCTTCGCCCCGTCGCTGAAGCGCGCGAGGCCGCGACCGCGCGAGCATGCGCGTGTGCGCGCGTGTGTGCGCGCGTGTGCGCCCGTGCGCGCGTGCGCCGTGCATGCCTCCACTTATTCTCCCTCCTTTCCCTGCGCCCGAGGGATCCATCACTCCTCTTGTTTCTTCGCCCCTCCCCCCCCCCCTCCACCCGCAGGCGCGGCCCCCCGGTCGCCTCGAGCCCCCCCGTCGGGCAGGCGTGGCCCTGGAGGCCCCCCCCATCGACAGGTCGCCTCGGGACCCGCCCGCCCGCCCCCTCCCTCCTACTCGATCCTCATCGATATCCTCCTCCTCCTCCTTCCTCTCTCCTCCTCCTTCTCCTTCTCTCCTCCTCCCTCATCCTCCTCCCTCCTCCTCCTCGTCCCTCCTCCTCCTCCTCCTCTTCCTTTCCTCTTCTTCCTCCTCTCCCTTAATCCCACCGCCGCGGAAGAACCGACGCAAGCAGTCGAGCGATCGAGGCCGCCCCAGGGATTCCGACCTCGAGGGCTTGAGGGGTCTATCTTCTTTTTCCTCCCTCTTCCTCCTCCTCCTCCTCCTCCTCCTCCTCCTCCTTAAGGCCCTCTTCCTCCTCCTCCTCCCTCGTCCTCCTGTTTTTCCTTCTTCCTCGCCCTCGTCCTCGTCCTCCTCCTCCTCCTCCTCGTCCTCCTCCTCCTCCTCCTCTTCCTCCTCCTCCTCCTCCTCCCTTATAATTTTTTATGATCAAGGGCTTGATCCATGGCCGAGCTTTGGGAGTGGCCTGGGGCCCCCCCCTCCCCTTCCCCCCCCGCGGCCGATGTGGTGGTCCTCCCAGGGCCGCCGCCTGGGCTCGACCCAGCGGCGCCCTGGGAGACCCCCGTCGCGCCTGTGGGCGAGGGGGAGCGGGCGCCATGGTGGGCCCCGCGGGGTTGCCTGTTTCCCAGGGCCCCGCGGGGCCGCCTGCCCGCGTGGGCGTGGCAGGCGTCCGCCCGAGCGCCGCTGCGCCGCGTGCGCATCGCGCGGCGGTGCGCGTGGCTCGGCGAGCCCGCCGCGGCCGCGCTCGAGTGGTTCGACGTGGCGGGGCGCCTCCGGGGTAATCGGGCAGTGCAGTATACATATACTTATATGTATCACGCACGGTCCCGCGCCCTCGATCTATCATAGGCACCACTTCGCGTGGTGCGACGTCAGGCACTGCGGCGACGACCGCTTCGTGCTGTGCCATCGCCCACGTCGTTGAGGCGCGTCGTGTCCCCCCTTAAACCTCTTCCTCCTCCTCCTCCTCCTCCTCCTCGTCCTCTCCTCCTCCTCCTCCTCCTCCTCCTCCTCCTCCCCGCCACGTGGCTCGATCGTATCTGGTAGCGGGACAAGGGCTGGCCCCCTGGACGGGCGCTATATGACATGTAGACATCGAGACAGGCTCTCGATTGGTCACGGCTTCGCTGCTACCGCATTGGATTCGATATTCGCCTGTCTCATTTTTTGCTAATGTATTGATTTTCTCGGACGACTCAATTATAAATTGAGCCGCTTCCGAGCGGCTCAATTTAATTGAGCCCGCGAGATCTCAGGGAGGCGAGGCCATTATCGCACGCGCCTTGGAACCCGATCTTGCTGCCGAACGTTTGGAGAGGGAGTTGGAGTCCGCATGGGTCCGCCACCAGCTGCGGCTGCGGGCTTCGGAGGTGTCGGGCCGGCAGGCCACGCTGGCTGCTTCTTTGCTGGAATTACCCTTGGAGGGCCCTGGGGCAGGGAACGCGCGCGCGCGAGGGATTAGAAGCGGCGGGGCAGCCCACCAAGCCAGTCCAAAGACAAAAAGCAATGTTTTTCTGACGTTTCCGAACTGCTTCCCTTTAGGCGGGGAGGCGCGGCCCGCCAGAATTTGCGGCCCCCGCCAGGACCTCTTGCGGAACGCCGCCGATTGGTACCTCCCGCGGATGGCAGAGCGCCGTCTTCGCGCGTGGCGTTCCAGCGGAGATCGCCTGGACGTGTGCGCCACGGACGGGAATGCCAAGCTGCACCGGCGGACCCGCGGCACCCCTTGCGCAGAGGCCGTGCACTGCAAGGTCTTGGACGCGCATCTCGTCCGGGGGTGTTCCGAGACTCCTTTGCGCGGGGGCCTCGTGCTTTGCCGCCGCCACCAAGAGTTGACCACGCGCGCAGACTTCCGCGAGGACATCGAGGCGCACCGCGTCAAGGCGCCTCTGTCCGTCGGCGCTTTCCTCGAGGTCGAGGTGCGCCTGGCGGGGAATGCAGGGTGGCAGCCTGCCGCCTCGGTGGCAGACGAAGCAGCGCAGGCTTACTTCGCCCACGTCGCCGAGCCCGTCGTGCAGGAGCGCAAGCGCTTGCGGATGGAGCGTCGGGGCCAGGACCGGCGGGCGCCCCGATTTGTCTTAGGCGATGGGGCGTCCCGCGAGCCCAAGGCAAAGTGCGCCTGCAAGACCCGCGAGGACTCCATCTCTGCCGTGAAAACGGCGTCGAGATCGGCTGGATTCTTAACGGTCGTCACCCAGACTGGGATTGCTTGCGGGCTCCAGGAGGTCATCACGGCGGAGACGCTCTCGCAGCGTTACTGCTTCCTCGCCGAGATGGCCCGCGCCGTCCCCGAACTGTCCATCCTGGTCCATGACCACGCCTGTCATGTCCGGGTCTTTGCCCGGTGCCGGGCCGCGGAGGCGTCGCCGGACAGCTTGCCGGCCCGGCTCGGCGAGTTCCGGCACATCGTCGACCGGCCCCATAGCCGGGGCCGCGTCGACCCGACGTGTCAGGAGTTGTGCTTCCCGGACGTCCCCGCGAACGCCGCGGCGTTGGGCTCGTTCCCAACGCCGATCTGCGAGAGCGTGAACTCGGATCTGAGCCCCCTGGCGCACACCATCCACCGCATGGGCCGGTGGGTGTGCATGTTCATCGTGTCCGAGTGCATCGACGTCCACAACGGGCTCAAGGCCCGGGGCGCGGCGCGCGCCTCAGCGCGCGCCGACCGGCGCGCCGCTCGCGCACCGCCCGCCGCGCCAGGGCCCGCGGCGGGCCCGCGCGGGGCCGACGCGCCGGCTGCGCCAGGCCCGGCCGCCGGTGCCTTGGACGCTCAGGCTGCGCTGAGATGAACGGCGGGTTATGTCTTAGATATAAGTTGAGGACGCCTGTTAGTAACTAAGCTATAACTAAGTTATAATTAAGTTATAACTAAGTTTTAACTAAGTTATAAACTGGCGCGTTTAATAGTGACTGACAGCGTCTGAGTTATAAGTCAACCTCTAATGCCTTATTAGAGCTCGTTGAGTTAGTAAAAGTCAGCAGACTTAGGAGGTTGAATTATAAGTCGGGTTGTAACCAAGTTAGGTGACTTATACTTAACACAATTAGCCCTGAGCTCTTCGACTTAGTAATTGAGTTATAATCAAGTTATAAGTCGACTTAGCTAAGTCGACCTAACTCGACTTACTAAGTCGACCTAAGTCGAGTTAGCTAAGTCGAACGTTCGAGTTACTACGTCGACGTAGTCCGACTTACTAGGTCGAACTATGTCGACTTATAAGTCGACGGTATCAACTTATGTTGAAGCGTTTAACAACGATTATTCACATGATTAACAACGGTTTTGAACATGTTTGCGGCACCTGGCCATCCACAACACCAACAAGTATGTTGAGAACTTGTGATCCAGATTTTGTCTCGGTAACAAAAAAAGCTTTTGTTATATATCCTCCGACAACAACATAATTTTGAACGAATGGTGCTCTGGCTTTTTCTGGTAACATGTACGTTAACAGTCAAGACCATAGAACTCTCAACAAAATGCAGGACGGCTCGATTCGTGATTTTATTTTGCGGTGGAACACAGACCAGTCAATACCGTAGATCTCGAATCAGAATGCAAGACGGGCCGATGCGTAATTTTGTTTTGTGGTGGGAAACACAGGTGGCGTCGGCGTGTGTGCGATGTGTGAAATGTCAAAAATTTATGTTGTCACCGCTATATAGTCATATGTGGTGATGTCGTAAGCACATCGGCGCTATGTAACCATATATAATGATGTCGTCAGCACATCCATCGCTATGCAAAATGCCGCGCGCACATATGTGGTATACGTGCACTGTCCACAGAATGGTTCGCACGTAATTTCTGGCGTATCCCGGATTCGTTTATCGCGAATTAGGCTGACTAGACTGAGTGGACTGAACTGGTCGCACCTGTTAGGAGGACGTTTAAATATTAATTTCCGGCGACCCAGGGCGCAACCTATGGCGCCACCAATCGGAGGTCGTGTTATTCTCGCCGAGCGAGGGCGCAACCTATGGCGCAACCAATAGGAGGACATTTTATTCTCGACGGCCGAAGGCGCAACCTATGGCGCAACCAATGGGAGGACGTTCCATTCTCGGCGGCCGAGGGCGCAACCTATGGCGTAACCAATGGGAGGACGTTTTACTCTCGGCGGCCGAGGGCGCAACCAATAGGGAAACGTTTTATTCTCGGCGGCCGAGGGCGCAACCTATGGCGCAACCAATAAGAGGTCGTTTTACTCTCGGCGGCCGAGGGCGCAACCTACGGTGCAACCAATGGGAGGGCGTTTTCTTCTCGGCGGCCGAGGGCGCAACCTATGGCGCAACCAATGGGGGGGCGTTTTATTTTCGGCGGCCGAGGGCGCAACCTATGGCGCAACCGCTGGGAGGACGTTCCATTCTCGGCGGCCGAGGGCGCAACCTATGGCGCAACCAAAAGGACGACCGATGTGGCCCAGATTGGTTGGACTTCGAATAGCGTGCGGGGCTACGCCCGATTTATGCTCGCCGTTTGGATTGGCCGCGGGGCCCAAGCGGCGACATGTCGTGTGATTGGCCACGCGCAATATATAGTGTATATATATATATATATATAATGTATGCATGTACTATGTGACGCGCGCGTGCGTACGTGCACGCATGTATACATACATCTGGAGGTGATGCGTGGCGGGGACGGAGTGGGGGAAGGAAGGGGGGAAGGGGGGCGATGGGGGGAAGGGGAAAGAGGGGGTGTGGAGGGAATATGAATGGACTGGAAGAGGACGGGGCGGTGCACGGGGGCGCGAAGATAATCGCGCCTTGCGCGTGGGGGGGTGATGGGGAAGGAGAATGAAGGATGATATAATGCATGGTGAAGAGGAATGAATGACGGAGGAAGAGAAGGGGGCGACTCCGACCCCCCCCGCCGATTTTTTCTTCGCGCCCTCCAGCCCGCCTCCGCCAGCCCTTCGCTGCGCTTCTTCTTCGACAGTCGGCGTTTGTCTTGGTTTGGTGTTTTTGTTGTTCTCTGTAGAGTGAGTACTATCAGCAGTAGTGGTAGTAACCGCAAATGTTGTCAGAGTACTGGAGATACTGGGGTGCGGCGATTCAGGCTGATGAGGGTGAGGGCGCAGGAGACGGATGATGCTGATGGTGATGGTCTCTGTTTATTGCGCCTGTGAAAGATAACTTATTGAGAGGGATCTCAAAAGGTACCCCACCCTTTTTCAATAAAGAAGCAACGGTCGATCTTGGGAGCCCTCCCCCAACAGATCTACATGTCTACATGTTGCCACTGGAGAGGAGAGGGAGTCGATGGAGGATGGGGGGGAGATGAGGAGGAGGAAAGAGGTACAGAGGGCGAGGGAGGAGGATGGGGAGAAGACGAAGGCGCGGAGGAGGGACAAGGAACAAGGAAGGAGGAGGGAGGAGAAGGGATGGGGAGGGGGAGTGAGGATGGACGAGGAATGAAGATGAGGGAGCGGAAAGAATAAGGAAGAAACAGGAAAGGTGAGTTCGATGCCCCCTCGCATCCCCCGTCCCCATCTGAACCCCACTCCCCCCACCGCGCCACGCCTTTCCTTCGACAGGTTTTGCGCCAAACGTTCTTGCCCGAATCATTTATACACATATGTTTATATACACACCGTACCATTCAGAAACGCTGTCCTTGAGAGCTGACGGGAAGCGAGAGGGGGAGACGCATATATTGAAACAAAGCCAGCAACCAGAGTGAACTGAGAGATCTCTGGGGACAGTTGGGTGGCACTGGAGGTTTCTTCGGGCCATCTCTGGTGCCGGTGTGAGGGGGGGGGGGGGAAAGGAGGAGGAAGGTGGACAACGACGACAACGACGAGGAAGAGGGGAAACTGGAGGAGGACGACGATGAGGACAAGGACGAGAACGAGGACGAAAACGACGACGAGGTGGAGGATGAGGAGGAGGTGGAGGAGATCAACAGGGACCAGACTCTTTGAGCCATATTACGAGGATGAGGGCTAGGACGAGGAGGAGGAAAACGAAAAGGACGAGGACGAGAACGAGGAAGATGACGAGGACGAGGGGGATGACGAGGACGAGGATAAGGATGAGGACGAGAAGGATGAAGAGGAGGAGGAAGAGGAGGACGGGGAGGAAACGGACGAAAACGAGGAGGGGGAGGAGGACGAGGGCCCTGGCATCTTTGGGTCTTGGGGCACTCTTGGGGCTACCTTGGAGGGTATTGGGATCATCTTGGGGCTCTTTGAGGGGGCCTCTTGGGGCCCTCTTAGAGCCCTCTTGGCTCTTGGGGGGCCGGAAGGCCTCTTAAGGGCAGTTTGGAGGCCATCATTCAAATAAGGGGGTTCCGAATTCAGTCCCCCCCTCCAGGGCCCCAAAATTCACCTCTTAGTTGCCCTCTTTGGCGCTCTTGGGGCCGTCTTGAGTGCATCGTGGGCCCCTCTAGGGGCCCCCTTGGGCCATCTTGGGGTCATCGTTAAGCCAAACTGGAAAACAAGTCGGAAACGAAAAGGCAAGAAGGCGAACACTTTTGATTTACTTCAGATTGTTGAAAGATTTGGGCCTCTCGGGGGGGTCACGGGCTCCGGAAGCATTTGGCGCCTGTTTGTGGCACTCTTAGGGCCCCTTGGGGGCATGTCAGAACTTGTATTGAATCATTTTCGGCTACCTTGAGCCATCTTGGAGGCCATCTTGTAGAATTGGATATCCTCTTGGAGCCATCTTGGCCGCCCCCCCCCCCGTCCAGATCCCTGGGAGTGGTAGGGGGAGGGGTAAACCCCTTCCCCGAATGGGAAGAAGGGGCCTTGGAAAAAGGATGACAAATACCGTCAGACCACTTTCGCACAGAGGGCTGGTGGGACTTGATGGTAATCATTTCGGGCGTTGCACGAATTTGTTTTTCGCGAAATGAAACTGGACTGGACTGACTGGTCGGGCTCGTTACGAGCCAGTTAGATGTTCGGTCGCCGAGGGGCGCAACCTATGGCGTAACCATTAGGAGCCAGTTATATTCTCAGCGGAAGAGGAAGCCACCTACGGCGCAACCGCCCGGAGCCAGTTATACTCTCGGCGGCCGAGGGCGCAACCTATGGCGCAACCAATCGTTGCCAGTTATATTCTCGGCGGACGAGGGGCGCAAGCTATGGCGCAACCAGTAGGAGCCAGTCATATTCTCGGCGGCCGAGGGCGCAACCTATGGCGCAACCAAAAGGAGCCAGTCATATTCTCGACGGCCGAGGGCGCAACCTATGGCGCAGCCAATAGGAGACAGTTATATTCTCGGCGGCCGAGGGGCGCAACTTATAGCGCAAGAAACAGGAGCCAGCTAAATTCTCGGCGGCCGAGGGCGCAACCTATGGCGCAACCAATAGGAGCCACAAATTTTCTCCGCGGCCGAGAGCCCAACCCGTGGCGCAACCAATAGGAGCCAGTCACATTCTCGGCGGCCGAGGGCGAGGACGAGGATGAACAACGAGGACGATGATGAACGACGACGCCCACGACGACGACGCCGACGACGGCGGCGGTGAGCGAAGGGGACGGCGACGGCGACGGCGACGACGACGACGGCGGCAATGGCGGCGGCGCCGAAGGCCACGACGACGACGGCGACGGCGACGGCGACGGCGGCGACGACGACGACGACGACGACGACGAGCGCCGCTACCACGACGACACCCGAGGCGACGACGAACTCACTGATGGGGCACAGACTGGCTGGACATCCAAATCCGTGCGGGGCTACGCCCGATGTATGCTCGTCGTTTGGGTTGGCCATGTGGCCCAAGCGGCGAGCTGTCTGGTGATTGCGGTTGGCCTCTTGGGGCCCTTTGGGGGATCC